ATACCTTTCTATCACAGCTGTCCTATGAAAACTTTACAGTAAAAGAAGTCTGATGTCTATTTACCTCGCATTTGTATTACAAAAAGTTATACCATGACTACAGAAGAAGTGAGAACTACTAGGATATTTTGCTTTGCTTTGTTGTTTTCTTTCATATTATCCAGAAGTTTGCAAATCTGAATAAAGACTGAACATATATTCAGAACTGAAAACAATATGTGTAACTGTATAGACATTAAGTATTCCATAATTGAACTTAGGATTGTCTCTGGGACAAAAGAGTCCAGTTTGCAGGAGGCATCCTTGAGGGAGACAGATCTGGAGAAATGCCTCCAAACAGCAAGGACAGTTGAATTGTTCAAGGGAAAAAGGGCCAAAATAATAATAGCCATTAGCAAAGAGCAAGTACACTACTGGTTTGAGTTGAAGTGGCATGCTGACACAATTCTGCACCGTAGAAAACAATACAGAAATTAGAAAGCTTCATACCTAGTCTATGAGGACCGGGGAAAGTTAGATGCAAGAGAATTTTTTTATAACCTAGTCCCATAATATTTCTGAAATACATTCTTTAAAACACAGGACATATCTATGCTATCTAAATGAAAAAGTGCCAGGCAGTGACTTTGAGCACTGGCTGGGACCGCTAGTCTTCTGCAGTGCATAATTGGTAGCATATTCCCTGGCAAAGTTTTCGCCTGTCCCAGTTACAGTTCTCTGAGACAATGACTGGGCACAGTTCAGGAGATAACTTGTGCCAAGATCATTCCCAAAAGGCCATGTGGAGAAGAATGCAGTGGTTTGGGTATCCCCCAACCTACACTCTCTTAACTTTGCAGCAGTCAACGCTGTACCCTCAAACACTCCTCTTGCCACAAGACACTTCATGTAACACATTCCCACAGCTTCATGTTATAAAAACATCACTCTGGTAGATAACAGTCTTCACGTTGATGCCTTAAGCCCCTAATGTTTTTTTTATTTTTCTAATATTTGTAAGAATTGTAAGTTTTATAAGTAAGTTTTAAAAGCAGCAACCTTCCCCCCCCCCTTGTCCCTTGTTCCCTTCCCTTTCTCCAGCACCCTTGTTTATACATTCCCTAACCCTCTTACCCCATTCTATGCTCCCCATATCAATCCTGCTTCTGAATACAGCAGAAGTGTTTAGTATTTTGTCAAGGCAAGGCCTAGACAGTTGACAGAACAGCATATCAGGGCCTAAACCACAGAATACGGTCAAAAATTAGGTAACTATGTACCCTTTGTGCTCTGAAGATGGTGAAGATGATGAAGTAAAAGACCCCAGACTCATTTTAAGGGGGTGGACCCGGGGCGGACCAGAGGAAAGGCCGCAGGGTGGGCACATCTGGGATTGGATGGATGGTATTATAAAATGTAACCTCTCAGGCACGGCCTGGGCGCGTCCTGTAACATCTTAGCCTTGGCAAATAAACCCTTTCTTATCTCACCCCTAATTAACTGCTCCTGGAGATTTTTTTCAGCACCAAAATACACCGGCAACACGTCCTTTCACACCCTACAAGCAAAAAAGAAATTAAATATAAAAATAGGGTTCTTTTAAAAAGCCCAGAAAAGTTACAGGAGTCAGAACATACCCCTAAGACCCTGGGGCCGTAGGACTATGACAGTGGTCTCTGGTCTTGTTTTATTTATTAGTATAGACAGATCAAAGAGACTTTCACTGATATCTATGATGCATGCTACAAGATATCAGATCTCTCGACACACACACAGTACTGAAGATACCACTACACATTTTGGGTTTGTATTTGTAGCGGTGTTATTGCATTGGTAGCCAATTCAGTAAGACAAATCAGCAATATTTGATGGAAGAAATTTGACAAAATATCAATTAAATGCAAAAGACATTCCGAGTGTCACAAGCTTTTAATAAGAAACCCACAAAGTTCAAGTCATTATCACCTGAGGTCCCTGGCAGCTGACAGATATGAGGTCAGCTCTTCAAGAGAGCATGGAAATAAAATCAATACACAGACACACAGTGGTGGCTGTATGTTCACCTCAGGCTATATAGCCTGCTGTGTTATGATGCATAGTATTTCCAATTTCAGTAGCCACTGGCAGATAAAAGAACAATGTGGCTAGCAAAAAATTCAGTCCTCTTTGATTCCCCACCCGAAATGAAGAAGAAAGTTTTTTTTAGCTGGTTTAGTTAAGGAAAAGGAAGCAAACAGTCATAAAAAGAACTCATAGAGAGCAAGGGTACTGGCTGACATTGCTGAATATATTGCACATTTTCTTAACCACTTAGCTACAGCATCTCATTTCACTGCAACACTGTACCAAGCTATTTACTGCATAAGAAATGTAAGAGAACTGGCACTGTGAGCCTTTGGTGTTGTAACAGAGCATACCAATGAGTAAAAAGAAAATAGATGCTGTTGAGGAAATATTCACCTTGCCTAAGTTTCTGACTTTCGTACCCTGGAAATTTACATAAACTGTCTGGAACATCCAGATCCTGAGACAGTTCTCCACAATAAGGCCAAATGCTTCCTTTTGGCATCACCCGAGATCAGAAGATAACTTCACCTGCCACCTGTGAAACTGCAGGAGCATAATTCTGTTATCTTTGACAGAATATGTTGTGGCAATGGTTAATACTGCAGCAGAATTAACACTTTTTTCAGCTAATTTTCAGCTATTTTTTTTCCTGAATATCAAAACAATAGAGACTTATTTAACAAAAGTTAGGGATTTTTATGTTCATTTTTATTTTTATTGGGTTTACATCACAAGGTTTTGGTAGGTGAGGGGGGTTACAAGGGTGGCTTCTGTGAGAAGCTGCTCAGAAACTTCCCCTGTGTTCAACAGAGCCAATGCCACCTGGCTCCAAGGCAGACCCACCACTGGCCAAGGCTGAGCCCCTCAGCAATGGTGGTAGCACCTCTGGGACAACAGTGTCCTGGTTTTGGCCAAGGACAGGGTTAATTTTTGGCAATAGCCAAGAAGAGGTGTAAGCCTCTTGGCAATAGCCAAGAAGAGGGGCATGACCGCTAACGTTCTTCCATATCATCTCATCATTGCCAGGGATTGGGGAAAGGTACTCTCTGTTCTGAGAAGAAGGGCATTCCTTATCATGGGGAGAAAGCATTGTGGGAAAGAGCCGTTTCCTTGTGTCATACCTTTTGTTATTAATATTGTTGCTGTTGCTGTTTATTTTCTTATCTCATTGCTGTTTCCAGTAAATTGTTCTTATCTCAACCCTGATTTTCACCTTTTATGCCTCCAATTCTCAACTTTATCCCGCTGGATGCGGAAGGTGCAAGGGAAGGAGGGAGCAAGAGGCAGCATAGTTTTAGCAGGACTACTAAATTGGAGAATATCGTTCCTAAACCACAACAGACTTAATTTGACACCCAACTAATGTTAGGTGCTAATGTTGTTGTCATAGCCTTGTAAGAGAGTACAACATGGAAGCTGATGACTGCTAAAATTTTCCTAACATTACTTCCTCCATCTTCCCCCTCTCATAAAAAGCCAGTGCACTTCAGTTAAATGTTTGCATATGTGAGTTCACAAATAACCGAAATATTTTAGAAAACATTTTCCATCCTAAGGCAAAGCATGGAAATTTTTAGTGTAAACCATTAAACGCTTGAGGAAATTATATAGGGATGCATAATGGAAAGTTTCTGGTTGCTTAAATCTACAATAGACGTATATATCATAGAATCACAGCACGGCTGAGGTTGGAAAGGACTCCTGGAGGGCATCTGGTCCAAATCCCCTGCTCAAGCAGGACCACCTGAAGACAATTGCCCTCAACTGTGTCTAGATGGCTTTTGAATATGTCAAAGGATGGAGACTCCATAACCCCCCCTGGGCAACCTGTGCCAGTGCTGGGTCCCTCACAGTAATGACATGTTTCCTTAGGTTCAAACAGAGGCTTCTGTGTTTCAGTTTGTGCCCACTGCCTCTGGTCTGCCAGTTACAGAGAGTGTAATGGTCTGCAGTGGAAGCATATAGAAGCTAATTTACGGATTTTGTTCTAGTGGCTAACCCAGCTGTGTGGTACAGGACAGTTCCCAGAAAAATCTTCAGTTCATTTGAGAGAAAGAAAGACACGAGTCTCCCAGCTGCTCATGGGTTCAGGATTTGGCACTGGACATCTTTAATTCCAAAGGTGTGACAACAAGCATATTTCTTCCAGAATTAACATTCATTTTCATACATCTCAGATGAAGAATTTTAAAATTTTGTAGTGGGTACGACCTGTAGCTTTTCATTCACATTAAACTTTGCTGAGCTGCAATTCTTTTAACTTCTCTTACAGCTATTTAATTTCCCTCTCCATCATTACCAGTCATTTTTGTTTGGTTATTATAATTTTCATTTGTTTCTTCTTGCAAGAAATATAGGAAGATAATAGCTATGTCACAGTGACAGAGCACTAACTCTGGGCTCCAGCCCTGGTGCTGTCATGGCCATGTCATAGGGAGCAAAATGTTGGTGGTGCCTGGATGGGTACCTGCACCAGCCCACTATGGCCATGGAGGACACAGGTGAACAAGGGCTGAGAGAAAAAGGCAGGGAGGAGTGGGGAGGGCAGGAAACCAAGGTCTGCCTGTGGCATGGAGGAAGGCTGCTCCTCCTTTGCTTCTCCTGTGTATTGCAGATGGGATATCCAGACAGGGATGCGACCAGACTACAGCACGCTCCTGTCTTCTCCCTCCTCTGCCACTCAGCCAGAGAGTTGCCAGGCTCTACGGGACAGACAGGCACCCCATCCTGGTCTTACAGCAATCTGGAAGTTTCCCACAACCACGGGCAGAGACAGCTCCACACTCTTTCCCTGTGGCCAAGGCTTAGGCTCCACATGAGCTCCTGGCACCAGCCCTAGCAGTGTAGTGGCCATGTCACAGTGGGAACAATGCTGGTGGTGGGCCCCTGTCATAGTGGGGATGGTGACATGATGGCCCAGGACGAGTGCCTTGTGGCTGTCAGGGAAATATGGGATGGACAGTCCTGGCGTGAGGCTGGTAAAGCCCCAGGCAGGGAGGCTTCCCATGCTGACAGAAGGTAGATGCTCCATTTGTTGATACTTCTGTCTTTGACTGCCACAGACCCAGCCAGAGCTACAACCAAATTATGGCACATGCCAGTCTTCTCCCTCCTCCAGCATTCAGCTGAAGAGCACTGTAACTTGTACTAGGACATGAACTTAAGCTTAAGGAAACATCCATAGCTTCATTCTGTACCACACCATGGTCCTACAGGTGGCTGGAGAGTTCCCACAGCTGTGGATGAAGGGAGCTCTACACCACCCACCATCTCTGTACCCTGTCATGGTCCTAGATGCAGCTGGAAGGGCACCAGAGCTATGGACAAAGGGAGTTCCATGCAACCCCCCCTTTCCTGTGTGAAACTTCTCTGTGTCTAACCTCCTTACAAACATGCAAGGGAAAACTAGAATTTACCTTGTGAAAAAGACAAGTCTAGAAATTCATCAGCATTATTTTTCTTAATAAAAATCTGCAATGGAAGCATCTATGTACTACATACTAGCACCAAAATATCTGCCTTATCTATTTCCTGCTGATTTCCTAGATATTTGTTCTCTCAGACAGAGCAACAGCAATTTATTAATATTTATTGTTAAGCCCTGAGGACAGATTTACACTTCTCAGGAGGGAATGCATATATATGTATTTATGTATATGTGTGTATATATAGATATTCATTTGCATATATATATTAGGTGCATATTATACGCATAAAGGGAAAGTCACCATATGGAAACAATGCCAGATTCTGAAGACAACTCACCTAACAACTATGAAATGACTGTCCCTGTAGCCCTAACTCGGCCTGCTGTATATGTGGATCCATTAGATGAAAGCATGCAGAGAATGAGAAAGACTCCATGGTCTGAGGCAGTGGAGATAGTTGTGCCTGTTTATTGAAAGAGAAGATTTCTTTTTCTTTTACTCTTTAATTTTTACCTTATTGATTTTTTGCTTTTTCTGTTTGATGAATATTGATTGTACTCACGCAGTGTTGCACTCATACTAGCGCTTTTTTCTCTCTTTTTTATTCACTGCAGTAATTTACTTGGGGTATGAAAACTGCTGAGTGTCACAGAATCACAGTATCACAGAACTTGGAAGGCACCTATTAGGATCACCCAGTCCCTCCCCAGAGAAGGGTCAAATACAGCAGATTGAGTGTGCCTTCAGCAAGTCAGCAGTATCTGCTGATACACCAGAGGGTTGCGCTGATACACCAGAGGGACCCCAACAAGCCGGAGAAATGGGCTGACAGAAACCTCCTGAAGTTCAACAAGAAGTCCTGCACCTGAGGAAAAACAACCCCGTGAACCAGTGTGTGCTGTGGGCCACCCAGATGAAAAGTTTCTCTGCAGAGAAGGACATAGGGGTCCTGGTGTCCACCAGATTGAACGTGATCCAGCAATGTGCCCTTGCAGCAAAGAACAGCGATGGTATTCTGGGCTGCATTAGGGAAAGTCTTGCCAGCAAGTCGAGAGAGTTGATCCTGCCCCTTTATTCAGCTTTGCTGAGGCCACACCTGGAGTACTATGTCCAGCTTTCTGTTCCTCACTACTACGAGGAACCTACTGTATTGTCCCATCAGCAGATAACACGGTGGTTAACATCTCTCACAAGGACAACCTTGAGGCTTCTTCCAGTTGTTTGAAAAAGGTTCTCAGCAGAGTCATCACCTGTCTCCAGGTGGAGCTCTGTGCATTCCTGCTTCTCTCACACATAAAGGGCAACTCTTCCTCCTCATCATCCCACCCTGCCCTTGTTAAGAGCTGATACCCCTCCACTGCAGTACTCCATTCATGTGAGCTGTCCTGTCACTTGTTTGTGGTTGCACCCAAACCACAGCCCTGCTTGCTCCCCGTGCTGCTGGGTGTAGGCATTTGGGATACAGCTTTTCTTGTGCTGATTTCCTAGGAAGGGCATGAGAGCTTCCCCCTCGTGCCACCCTCTCAGCATGGATGTGCCTGTGCTGCAGGCAGGGCCCTTACACCCTCTTTCGTTATTTCCAAGGTGTCCCCTGCCCATATCACCCTGCACCCTTTGCTTAAAAATCATAGAATCATAGAAGGGTTTGGGTTAGAAGGGGCCTTAAAGATTATCTAGTTCCAAATCCCCTGACATGGGCAGTGATGCCACCCAGGTTGCTCAGAGTCCCATGCATCCTAGTTGTGAACTCCAGGGATGGAATACAAAGCCAATCCACAACCCCTGCACTTCACTGTCGGCCTTCTCTTCCTTCTCTTCAGCTCCCCTCCTCCTCTCCCAGCAATTCCCAGTGTAAATCCCTACACACCAGCTTGGCCAGCCTGCGGACAACGATGGCTCTGCTGCCCTGTCCAGGTGGATCCTGTCCTTTCCTGGCAGCCCGCCATCTCCGCAGCCGAATCTCCGCCGCCAACACCGTCTGTCGGAACCGCAAGCCCCCCGCCCTCTTCCTGAGCTCCCCATCCTTGCGGGGGGACCGCCGGGACGCCCCCGGGACCCCCCAGGCGGGCGGTGCGGGGCGGGCGGGGCCGAGCGGGCTGAGGGGGCCGCCGGCTCCCTCTCCTGGCCCCGCGGCGGCACGGCGGGACATGGGCTCTGCCCACAGGCAAAAAAGCCCTCCAGATTTGTGGGGTTTTACCGAGGCATTCGTATTCCCCATTAACCCCTGGCTTCCCAAAACAGAGCGCCTTTTCTCTGCGTGTGTTAATTCAACAGAGAGAGACTTAGCGCTGAGTGTCTCCTGATTCCTGAAGGGGAAAAAAACTGCTGAGTCGGGCACTCTGAGCAAGTGGGAAAATTGGGTTCAAAACCTCTCATGAGGAAGAAACAAATGATTCCTTGTCCTGTGTTTTCTTGATACGTGTGCTAAACACCAAGCTCTAATGGGAATGGGAAGAGCTCCTGCATTTAATGAGACTAAACCTGCATTGTTATTATACTGGCCTGAGATTAAGCTCCTGATTCTGCATCACAAGTGGAGAGAGGCAATATTCAGTCTTAAGGAATTGTCAGAGATTTAGAAAGGGTTGGCAACTCAGAGGAAAAAAACATGTAAATAAAATATATCACTTTTTTTTTTATCAAATCATGGAAAATTTGGAGAGACTCAAATGTGACAGCAGTCTGCAGTTGTCTCAAAAAAAGTCAGTAGTGTTTTCATCTAGCTCTACTGTAACTGTAACAGTGTTGCTGAGCAGCAGGTAAGTGGACATTATTTGGTGCATTGACTCCATGACCTTTATAAAACTTATGCAAACAAGAATACCAATAGTGAATTTATGATAAAAGATTAGGGGTTTGTCTATAGGGAAAATTCAAGAAAGATTCATTCCTTTAAGTGGATTATCAAAACCTCATTAAGCTTTGAGAATCCCCTTATTCAGTATTAAATTGTCTTTACACTTACACTGAGTGAGTTTTAACACTTTAAATTTACACCTTTAGCGTATTTGGATTGATTTTCCTCAGTGTCCCTGTTTAGAAAGATCCCGAACAATTGGATCTTAGGCAGTTTGCAGTGACACAAAAGACTTTAAGATTCATCCTCTTGATCCAGGACCGAGGTCATTACTGTCACTGTGGTGAGGAATCTTTCCTGTACTGTCTGCACTGTAATATCAGATCCTGTCTAGAGATGAAGACTTAAAAGCAAGATTTAGACCTTCATATGAAAGTTAAGGTAATAAGTGCCAGTACAAGAGCAAATGGCCTCAAGTTGTGCCGGGGGAGGTTTAGATTGGATATTAGGAAAAATTTCTTCACTGAAAGGGTAACCATACATTGGAACAGGCTCCCCAGGGAAGTGATGGAATCATCATCCCTAAAGTGTTAAAAAACGCATGGATATGGCACTTGAAGATATGGTTTAGTGGTGACCACAGTGGTGCTGGCTTAATGGCTGGACTCGATCTTAGTGGTCTTTTCCAACATTAATGATTCTATGCCTATTGAAGTTAGTCACTGTCCTGAACTTCTTTGTAAATATAGGAGAATGCCAGTATCAAAGTCTACAGGAACACTCTACTTATGGTTGCACTGACTGCATGAGTCTTCATTGCAATTGTTGAAGCCTCCATAGAAGTTCAGCCTCTGGGGACTCAGTTCGACTGCCTGAACTTTTGTCTCACAAGACAATTGATGTTGAGACTTATTCAATATATCCACATGAGAACAGCAGATAAGATGGACATATCCTGAATGAGAAAAAACACTAGGGCCCCCCAGATGAAACTAGATACTGATGTTTAGTTAAGCAAAATGCACCCTAAGTCTTCTCTACTAGAAATAACTGATCATTGTTTCACCTTTATTGACCACAATGGCAGGTCAGACACATCCTGCAACTTGAAACAAATACATTCACAGGCCTTAATTTTGAACTTTGAGTTCAAATTAGTGGTTTTGGTCTTGTTTTTGGTTGTTTTCTGTTTGTTTGGTTTTTGGGATTTTGGTTGTTTTTTTTTTTTAATTCTGATCTGAGTCAGATATTTGATATGCATTCAGCTGAATTTCATGTATAGCAGAGTTTTAGGTAAGACACAGGCACCCATATCCCCTGAACTTGTGTGACCAAGTAAGTATATGTCAGTCTCAGTCATGAGGAAGAATCTTATGAATTTTGTGTCTGCAGAGCTAAGCAACTTGTAACCTTATTCTTAACATGAACTAATTTTAGGCGCTCACATCCCAGTATAGATGGAATTGCAGTGGGCTGGATCTTCTCTGGCATATCTGTCTTTCAGACTGGCACAAAGGACATAGGACTGCTTCTGACAATCTCTACTCATTCATTTTTACATTGCTGGAATTTTGCGGGTGAATAAAGTTTCTTAAGAAAAAAAAAAAAAGAAAAAAAAACCCTGAGTGATTTTTTACTGGCCTGTTGCTCAGATATACTCTTATGTCCTACATAAGCAAATTCCTACATGGATAATACCAGTGAGAAAAAAAGAGCAAATAGATTTTCTTAAAGGACAGTCTTGTCCTGTGAGTTCTTTTCAGATAACTCAGCTTTTTCTTCAGGGACAAAACCAAATAAATTGCATGTCCCCTAATAGTTTTGGGAACAGTGGAAAAAATAGTGGAAGAGGCGGGAGTGGCACTCTTCTCTTGTAACTTCCACCGATGCCTTGATTTTATGACAAGCTGAAAAACTCAGATGTGCCGTTACTTGTCTGGTCTGGGATGGGAAAAAATACTGGGAGCGGGAAGGCGCCCTGTGTGTGCGCGCCCGGGCGGAGCGGGAGGGGGGCGGCAGAGGGCGCACGGCCCCGAAGCATCGCTCGGGGGCTCCGCCGGGGGGGCAGCCCCGGAGAGCTGAATGCTGGACAAATCTGCGAGCATCCCAGCCCCGAACAGTTGCGATCCTTGGCTGCCGTCCCAACAGCCCTTCCGTGCAGGCAGACTTTCGCTGGAGCTGCCGAGCGGCGCTCGCGCAGATCAGGTTTCAAAATTGGGATCTAATTTTAAATGAGATGTCAAAAACCGGGACTGACAAACAGTGGGAAAGACTGTTAGGGGGCAGACCACAGGTAATCTCTGTGAACAGCTCGGCAGCCATGCTGACAGCTGGGAACGGGAACCCCGGAGCGCTAACGTGAGATCTCAGGCTGCTCCCCTGACCTCGGACAAACTGCTCGGGGCTTCTTCCTTCAGGTGTTGAGCTCCTCCTGAAATGCTGGTGAACAGTTTGACAGGATCAGTGGAAGCCAGGAATGTTACTTCATTCTCGTGAAGCACTCGGTAACCTATGGGAGCCGTTTTCCTTCCTCACTTTCTTTATATATGAAAGAACCCACCTTATGGAATAAAAAAAAACAGGACGACAGAGCAAAATACTGCAGTACTCCCACATGAAATGATGCACTTCAGTAGCATCACTGCATTTGACTAGGGATCTTGTGTTTTCTTTTCTTTGCTCTCTTTGGAACGTTACAGACCCTTGAAAAAGTCTCCAAGCCAGAAGCAGAGAAGTCTGACTGTGCAGAACGGAAGAAAAGTGGCTAAAGCAGCCAGGCAGCCACTGTCTTGGAAATACAAAAAGTATATATAAAAGCACTGAATTAAAATAAGCAGTGTCCACTATGTCCAGATTAAATGGTCCGGATAAATGCAATCACTAGACAGACATAACAGCACCAGCTCAGATGAAGCCAAATCATCCGCTCTTTAGAAACTCGGGTAGCAATCTTCAGCTGGACAGCTAGGTAGCAGTAACAGGAAAACTCATTTGTCAAGGATGAACTAAGGACTTCTCTTTATTCACCTTTTTAATTTTTCATATTTTCTCTCTCTTTCTGTTGTGGTGGTGTTTTTTTGTTTTGTTTTGTTGTTTGTTTGGGTTTTTTTAGATAAAGAGTTAGGAAAAAGTATGACATCAGAGACAGTCTGCTTTACCGGACTACCTGAAGAGTGGTCGCTTGAAGGCTTCTACTTGAGTCATAAAGCAGGGAAGGCAATAACATAGTGCAATGGGATGTAGGTTTTTGACGAAGAAATATTTCTCATTATCTGTGAAATTTTTCAATAGTCAATGCTTTTAATTTTAAAAAGGACATTTTCTGTCTGACTGAAGAAGATGCAGACATTGTAGAAGAAACTAAAAAGATCCAATTAAGAACCAATTTCCTCTATATCC